TTTTACATTTCTTCTTGTCATTTTATTTCGTTAGTATTAAATTCATGGTAACGAAATAAAATGACAAAGATACAAAAATGTATCAAATAAATCTGCTCACCTGCAATTTATAATGGCGCATTGTAGTCACCTTCGTGCACGAAAGTTCATTCAATCTCAGCTGCTCAACATTTTCAGTTATTTGCTGTTGAATCGCCGATTTTGAAAATGCAAATGATCTGTTTATTTTCAAAGAATAGTTTGTTTGTTATTGTTTGGTTGGTGTCTTGTATGAAACTGCGACATTGCGCAATTTATTGAACAGACTTGTTTAAGATCACACAGCGTAATTTGGGTGGCATTTTATTTCGTATTTTTAAATCATCTTTTTATTTTTGACTATCTGTAAATTTAGTTTCCTGCTCTTAATTGTGAATGCATACTTGATGGTTTTAAATGCTCCTGAAATTAAGTGCTGCTTGACGAGCCTATGTTGTGTATGTATGTGACGTCACTGAAGGCCTTAGGTTGAAATGCACGGCCCGCCACTGATAGTAGCTCTAATGTTGAATGATAACATTGGTTCAAAATTAGACTTATTCATCACTTCTCTATCATAGCAGGTGCTTCCATTGATGTGATATTGTAACAACTCTCGAATGTTTTAAGTTCATGAAAAACAATCCTGAAAAAAAGTTACCAGTGTTGCAAAGAAACAAACAAAGCCCTCATCAGAAATGTTAAATGTTGCTAGATTCGTTGAGTTCTGAAATCATTGTATTTGATACGTATCTCTCATTACAGGGTATTCAGAGAAGAGAAAATGTGAAAATGAGCAGCGACTTCACACTCGAAGCCAAATCAAGCTGAATTACAAAAGCCTCAATCAGCGAAGGCCCAAGGCGGTTGTCACTAATTACCTGCACATCAACATCACATGAGGAGTGAGCCAAGATTTCATCTCTCATTATTCCCACAAGCTTGATCACTTTACTTTTGCCTTGATGAAACAAAGCGGTTCGCAGACTGATAAGTTGTGCTGTTGGCTGTCAGTCAACCCCAAATCGCATCATTTCAATCTTTTGTAATTTCGGAAAAATTACAGTATACTGTGCAGAATCCTGCAAATGAATGATCATTCATTTTTTTCAGATACACCTAAAAATAGAAAAGTTAAAATATG